ATGGTAATTCTTGATATCGAGAATTGTTAAGGTGAATGATTTCGAAAGCAAAAGTATTGCTAGTATTCATCCTGAGCGCGCCGTTTTAACATTTATTCCTATTCTGATTTCGAACGCAAGAGTTGCGCAGAAATTCATGTCCAAGCGCAAAAATTATTAAAAAATTGATTATTTTACTGTTATCATTATGCATTTCGCATTTTCACGTGTAGAGTGAATGCATAAGATTCGTCATTAAATTCTAGGATATTTTCTCTCCTCTTTGTAGTTGACTGTACTGGTGCCAACCCATGTATGAATGGAGGTGTCTGTGAGAACGCTGCATGTACATGTGCATCGGGTTTTAGTGGATCTCTCTGCAGTAATGCTAGTAAGATCTTTAAGGATTTCATCATTTTTGTTTAAAAAAACATTTACCACTTTTGAAATGTCTATTCGGTTAACACTGATTCCAATTTGTCACTGGAGAATCATAGGACCTAGACTATCAGATTGTTTTCTAAAACACCTTTGTTGATTTACCGAGAGAACTGAATATAGTACATGTATTCTAACTCACTACGATGTTCATTTTTGACCAGCGTCTTACTTTCATTGATACACAAACTCTGAAAATCTTTGCATGAAGTTTTCGTCTTCCTTTTAATGAAATTCATCGTTGTTTTGGAATATCCTTTCTCTTAAACGGAACTTTTAGACATTGTAATGACATAAATAATGCGTTACAGTCATGAACCAAAATACAAACAAACAACATCATTTCTCATTAGGGAAAATGTGGTTACAATAACACTTACGCCTATGCATATAAAAACGAAATTCATATTACATGGTACATACAAACATTCAAAGTCATCTTTTGCCATCTATTCTGTTTAATGGCTTGATAACCAAACCCATTTTCATCACTCCTGCCCCGCTTATAAACGAGGTAAACCGGGTCATGCATACTCCTGAAAAGTCAATTTCGCACTAAAAATTCAAATCTTTTATTTGTAATATTATATTGTTTACTAATCTTGTCTGTCCTCACAAATAGTCAGTTCAAAAATAGATATTCTAAATGTGTATGTTCGTTTGGTATTTTATTTTATTCACTTTGTAGTTGACTGTTCTGTTAGCGACCCATGTGTGAACGGAGGTATCTGTCAGGCCGATGTACATGTATGTTCATGTGCTGCAGGATTTACTGGATCTGTGTGTGACAAAGGTATAAACATATGTCATAGTTTCTACGTTCAATCGTACAGGGATAGAAATGCCATATGTTGTCCCCCAACAGTAGGTTATCCATGTCACATAATAAAGATACTGAATATTCTCATAATCCCCTGTCGTGATTATAATGTTCGACAAAAGCATTAGGTCGTCGTAAACTTGTAGTCCTACTTAAAGAAATAAAAGTATTCCCCGACAAAACCTGAACTTTTCCTCTTCCTTCCAATGAAAGTTGTCGTTGTTTTGGAATGTCCTTTCTCTTCAGAAGACACATGTTACAAGCGAAACATTAAAATCATATTATTTGTGTTAGAAAATATAAGGCAACCCTACTTTAATAAAGAATACTCATATAAATGTGAATTACATAATTAATACGTTATAATCATGAATCGAAATACAAAGACGAGAATCTATGACGAGAAATGTGTTTACAATAATATTTAGGTCTTTGCATATCATAGCATACATGTAAGTCTTATTACATGATAACAAATAGTCCTAAAGGTGCATGTTTTATTTGGTGTTATTTTTTCTTTGTGAATTAGTTGCTTCGCGTGGTACAGATATGGGAATCTATTGTAACATACTTTAAGTGTTATCGGGATTCGTCTTATCTGTCAATAAGATTTTAGGTAGGGTAGGTGCAGGGAATTGGAGACCCTTAAGCACATTTACATAATTTACATAAACATGAAAAACGTTACACATACAGAAAGTTATGTATTCTCTCCAGTAACTTCTTCTCTTTATTTGGTAACAAAATTGTGGGCATGATGTAACTGATTAATAAGATAACAATGATTAATGACGTCAGCACCAAAGGTCTCTCATTACCTGCATGTGAAGGTAATGAGGGACAGTTACAAATCAAGACATTTTAAATACAATTTGAATGAAAATGGGATTGTTATGGTTAGTTCAGACACTTTTTGAAAGAGATATATGCAGCCAATGAACTTACTGTAAATTTGAAACGATTTTAAAACAATGTGGCTCAAAATATTTCTGTACATGGACAATTAACCCACCAGCATTGGGTCATTGACTGTCCTCGGCATACTCGACATTCACAACAAACGACCCCCATCTTTCTCTCTCCCTCTTTCTCTCTGTTCAAACTGCTCTCCTTCTTTTTTTTCTTTTAACCTTCCCTTTTCTCTCTTCTAGCATGTACTTGTATGATGATTACTGTTGTCTCGCCGAAATCTGACCCTCTTAATTTTCATTAATGTATTACATGTAATTAGGAATAATATGTTTATTTAATTATGATCATTCCATTCCCTGCTCTCTCTCTCTCTCTCTCTCTCTATCTATCTCTCTCTTCCTTTCTCTCTTTGTACCTCCCCTTTTCTCCCATCATTTCTCTCTTTCTCTCTACTCCATTCGCTTTAACACTCTCACTTTCATGAGCCATTTACCTTCCCCTGCTCTTGTATATCTTCTGCTAGTACATTCTTTCACGTAACGTACATAAACGAACGCAATGTAATTCCGCTGTATTGTCATTATGTTACAGATTGATTTACTATGTTTCGTAATACTATTGTACATGTATATAATTTACATCACTGTACCTTCGTAAATTGACCCTTTCAGCCTTGTGTTTCTGGTCGATCATTATATACCAATAAATGAATAATAATAGTAAATCTTGGACCTGGTGTCCCCCATTACCTGTACACATTTCTGATCAGACACCATTCATAATGTGCTGTGCAACACCCATTCACAGCATACATTGGCCATAGGTTTTCTGTGATGGTTGGCACATTTCATAAACTTCATTTTAAAACTAATTTTTAAGAGCCACCCCTAAATATCTGAATACACCACAACATTCAGTGAAAAATGTATTTTATATCAGAGCAAAATTTTATGATCAAAATTGGTTACCTTGGTCAATTTTGCCAATTTTCTCGGAGAAAGAGCACATTGTAGTCTTCAAAATGAATTGGATATAAGTAGTAATGTTGTTAAAGGCCACAAATGGCGCTATGGCAATATTGGAGCCAACACGGACAGACAGTGATGGGTTCAAACTTGGTGGTTTCCAGTTCCCTGCGGTCTCCAATTCCCTGAACCTACCCTATATTATAGTAGGGAGTAGGGTATCTCCACGCCGGAGTCATGGGTCAAGATACGACGAAAATATGGTTTCACAGTACAATACAATACAATACAATGAACAGTTAGGGCGCCATTCCCATAAGGCTCAGAGCGCTAACATCAAATAATATTATTGGTCTTTACTACATGTAGTAATTAAAGGCTACAATTAGATATTCCATATAAAATATTAAATTCAATTGATTAAATTAAATAATTAAACATAGAGGAGAATTCATGTAAAGAGATGAGTTTTCAGAGCCTTCTTAAAAATATCGATAGAGGCAGATTGTCTGATGGACATGGGGAGATTATTCCACCCTTTGGATGCTGCTACCGTGAAAGTCCTATCCCCGGCTTGGACACGTGTAATTGGATAATTTAGACGGAGGTTATCATTTGAAGATCTGAGATTTCTGCTTGACAGTTCTGAACAAGCGCTGAAAATTGACCACAGTGACATCAAACCCTATTACTATCAGTTCGAGCCAGAGCCAGAGCTCGAGGAGACCTCATGTAAATTGTCGACTGACAAAGACTGATAAAATATAGACCAGATCTAACGTTAGTCTAGACTAAACCACTCGTAATCCACTAGCACTCCAGCAAAAGCATAGAGAGACACTAGGGACTTTTAGATTGAGTGGACGAGAACACGACGAACGCCGACTGATCATGCGTGTCAACGTACTCAACGATCCATGTTGACTACAATTAGAAATCTTTTAGATTTCACTCCACGATATACATGCATGCAGGAAGTAACACTATGAACATGACGGACAAAGAAAGAGGACAAAATATACAGTTCCTCATTCTACCCTCAACAAAAGAACATCCCTCCGCTGCTATTATGTAAAAATGTGTAGAACAGGTGAATATGCATGTGACACCTGTTCTACACATTTTCACATAATAGCAGGGAAGGGATGTTCCTGTGTCTACCTGAGGAACTGTATACTTTTTTGCGCACGCGGCATACTAGTACCGTACTAGATTCTTAGGAAAATCAAAGTTGACGCATTCTCGATCGCCGACTGAGACGACGTGACGCATGCGCAGTGCCTTAAAATGACGTCACACGCTGTAGTCAAAGCTGTCGACGTGCAAATCTAAAAGTCCCTACTGAGTTAATGCGCACGTACGTTCGGTGAAATTGAAAGTGCATATCGTAGTGACAAAGAGCGGTCTAAACCGAATCTCTCGAGGCCTAACAGTTAGTATTCTAAGTGGAAAATTACCCTCAATTTTCCCCCTTCTCAGCTGCAGTCCTCAGTCTTCTCCTCTTTGTTCTGCATCCCAATTCTGTCTTAGTGGCTTGATAGTATCGGTAGATTCCAGCCATATAGAATTGAGAAAACGAACTAAGCCGCAAGGGTATGGAAGCACGAATGCCAAAAAAACAACTTCAATTTATAATAATAATAATAATAATAGTGGGTTCTTGCATAGCGCTCATGTCAGTCAGATTTGACCCTCCTGGCGCTCCCGATTATTACCCTGGCTTTAGCACAGCTGCCATACGGCGCTCTAGCATTTCAAGGACTAAATTCCTACCAGGTACCCATTTACTTCACCTGGGTGGAGTGTGGCAAATGTAGATCAATGTCTTGCCAAAGGACATTAGTGCGGCGGCGGGACTCGAACAGAAGTGAAAGTACAGACACAAGATGGAAAGTGCGTTCCATATTTTGGTGCAGTACTGATAAAAACATTGCTTCTCTTGATTATGAGTAGGCACGTGGAGAAAAGGGAGTGCGCAGCCATTAGCAGAGCAGAGTTTGTATTGTGGTTCTTACAGCGATCACTGGTTATTAAGATTTGTTTAAGGGTATGATAAGAGTGGCATATTTCATTTCGATAATAATGATTCAACTTTTGGCGCAAAGGTGTCTTAAAACTCAGACCTTGTTTCTACATTTCCGCGTCCATTTTTTGTACATATTTCATCCCAAAGGAAAAATCAATTGCCTATCTGACCTTTGTTTTCTTGAAGGGCCAGATCAAAGTATGTCAGACAACGATATTTTTTCAGAGATTGTTTTTACTTCTAAGTCCATGATTTTGGGGAAAAATTCGGACAAAACGAGCTAGATTTAGTTTGTTTAATTAGTTTGATTTATTTATCAACAGTTTTACAAATGAAGTAGCTGATTTCTCAATTGTCATTAATTTGCATTTCAAAATTTTTTTTTTACCTGACTTTCCTGTTAATCGCCAACATTTTATAGAAAAATCTGACAAAATGAAAATGATTTTCTCATCACGTTCATTCCAATGATTGTCATTGAAACTCAATTTACACAGATATCGACGAATGTGCCAGCGATCCCTGTTCGAATGGAGGAGTGTGTACCGATTTAGTTAACAGCTTCACCTGTTACTGTGCCGATGGCTATGATGGGATTACGTGTGATTCAGGTAAGCTTTATATAAAGTCGAAGCAGATTACATTCCTAGTATATCAATACACTTTTTAAGTAAAGCGAAATCCAAAAAATATTGCATGTTGCTCATTGAGAAATAAAACATAAAGATTGAAAAGGGGGAAAAAAAACTAGTCTTTGGAGAAGAAAATCTTTGGAATTTTTCTTAATTTAGAGTCAACTGAAGTGTAAGTAGAGACATAAGCTGGAAAGGGTGTTTTATATTTCGGCGCGTTTTTAATAAAAACATTGCTTCTCTTGATTATGAGTAGGCACGTGGAGAAAAGGGAGTGCGCAGCCATTAGCAGAGCAGAGTTTGTATTGTGGTTCTTACAGCGATCACTGGTTATTAAGATTTGTTTTAGGGTATGATAAGAGTGGCATATTTCATTTCGATAATAGTGATTCAACTTTTGGCGCAAAGGTGTCTTAAAACTCAGACCTTGTTTCTACATTTCCGCGTCCATTTTTTTTTGTACATATTTCATCCCAAAGGAAAGATCAATTGCCTATCTGACCTTTGTTTTCTTGAAGGGCCAGATCAAAGTATGTCAGACAACGATATTTTTTTCAGAGATTGTTTTTACTTCTAAGTCCATGATTTTGGGGAAAAATTCGGACAAAACGAGCTAAATTTAGTTTGTTTAATTAATTTGATTTATTTATCAACAGTTTTACAAATGAAGTAGCTGATTTCTCAATTGTCATTAATTTGCATTTCAAATTTTTTTTTTTACCTGACTTTCCTGTTAATCGCCAACATTTTATAGAAAAATCTGACAAAATGAAAATGATTTTCTCATCACGTTCATTCCAATGATTGTCATTGAAACTCAATTTACACAGATATCGACGAATGTGCCAGCGATCCCTGTTCGAATGGAGGAGTGTGTACCGATTTAGTTAACAGCTTCACCTGTTACTGTGCCGATGGCTATGATGGGATTACGTGTGATTCAGGTAAGCTTTATATAAAGTCGAAGCAGATTACATTCCTAGTATATCAATACACTTTTTAAGTAAAGCGAAATCCAAAAAATATTGCATGTTGCTCATTGAGAAATAAAACATAAAGATTGAAAAGGGGGAAAAAAAACTAGTCTTTGGAGAAGAAAATCTTTGGAATTTTTCTTAATTTAGAGTCAACTGAAGTGTAAGTAGAGACATAAGCTGGAAAGGGTGTTTTATATTTCGGCGCGTTTTTAATAAAAACATTGCTTCTCTTGATTATGAGTAGGCACGTGGAGAAAAGGGAGTGCGCAGCCATTAGCAGAGCAGAGTTTGTATTGTGGTTCTTACAGCGATCACTGGTTATTAAGATTTGTTTTAGGGTATGATAAGAGTGGCATATTTCATTTCGATAATAGTGATTCAACTTTTGGCGCAAAGGTGTCTTAAAACTCAGACCTTGTTTCTACATTTCCGCGTCCATTTTTTTGTACATATTTCATCCTAAAGGAAAGATCAATTGCCTATCTGACCTTTGTTTTCTTGAAGGGCCAGATCAAAGTATGTCAGACAACGATATTTTTTTCAGAGATTGTTTTTACTTCTAAGTCCATGATTTTGGGGAAAAATTCGGACAAAACGAGCTAGATTTAGTTTGTTTAATTAATTTGATTTATTTATCAACAGTTTTACAAATGAAGTAGCTGATTTCTCAATTGTCATTAATTTGCATTTCAAAATTTTTTTTTTACCTGACTTTCCTGTTAATCGCCAACATTTTATAGAAAAATCTGACAAAATGAAAATGATTTTCTCATCACGTTCATTCCAATGATTGTCATTGAAACTCAATTTACACAGATATCGACGAATGTGCCAGCGATCCCTGTTCGAATGGAGGAGTGTGTACCGATTTAGTTAACAGCTTCACCTGTTACTGTGCCGATGGCTATGATGGGATTACGTGTGATTCAGGTAAGCTTTATATAAAGTCGAAGCAGATTACATTCCTAGTATATCAATACACTTTTTAAGTAAAGCGAAATCCAAAAAATATTGCATGTTGCTCATTGAGAAATAAAACATAAAGATTGAAAAGGGGGAAAAAAAACTAGTCTTTGGAGAAGAAAATCTTTGGAATTTTTCTTAATTTAGAGTCAACTGAAGTGTAAGTAGAGACATAAGCTGGAAAGGGTGTTTTATATTTCGGCGCGTTTTTAATAAAAACATTGCTTCTCTTGATTATGAGTAGGCACGTGGAGAAAAGGGAGTGCGCAGCCATTAGGAGAGCAGAGTTTGTATTGTGGTTCTTACAGCGATCACTGGTTATTAAGATTTGTTTTAGGGTATGATAAGAGTGGCATATTTCATTTCGATAATAGTGATTCAACTTTTGGCGCAAAGGTGTCTTAAAACTCAGACCTTGTTTCTACATTTCCGCGTCCATTTTTTTGTACATATTTCATCCCAAAGGAAAGATCAATTGCCTATCTGACCTTTGTTTTCTTGAAGGGCCAGATCAAAGTATGTCAGACAACGATATTTTTTTCAGAGATTGTTTTTACTTCTAAGTCCATGATTTTGGTGAAAAATTCGGACAAAACGAGCTAGATTTAGTTTGTTTAATTAATTTGATTTATTTATCAACAGTTTTACAAATGAAGTAGCTGATTTCTCAATTGTCATTAATTTGCATTTAAAAAAAAAAAATTTACCTGACTTTCCTGTTAATCGCCAACATTTTATAGAAAAATCTGACAAAATGAAAATGATTTTCTCATCACGTTCATTCCAATGACTGTCATTGAAACTCAATTTACACAGATATCGACGAATGTGCCAGCGATCCCTGTTCGAATGGAGGAGTGTGTACCGATTTAGTTAACAGCTTCACCTGTTACTGTGCCGATGGCTATGATGGGATTACGTGTGATTCAGGTAAGCTTTATATAAAGTCGAAGCAGATTACATTCCTAGTATATCAATACACTTTTTAAGTAAAGCGAAATCCAAAAAATATTGCATGTTGCTCATTGAGAAATAAAACATAAAGATTGAAAAGGGGGGAAAAAAACTAGTCTTTGGAGAAGAAAATCTTTGGAATTTTTCTTAATTTAGAGTCAACTGAAGTGTAAGTAGAGACATAAGCTGGAAAGGGTGTTTTATATTTCGGCGCGTTTTTAATAAAAACATTGCTTCTCTTGATTATGAGTAGGCACGTGGAGAAAAGGGAGTGCGCAGCCATTAGCAGAGCAGAGTTTGTATTGTGGTTCTTACAGCGATCACTGGTTATTAAGATTTGTTTTAGGGTATGATAAGAGTGGCATATTTCATTTCGAAAATAGTGATTCAACTTTTGGCGCAAAGGTGTCTTAAAACTCAGACCTTGTTTCTACATTTCCGCGTCCATTTTTTTGTACATATTTCATCCCAAAGGAAAGATCAATTGCCTATCTGACCTTTGTTTTCTTGAAGGGCCAGATCAAAGTATGTCAGACAACGATATTTTTTTCAGAGATTGTTTTTACTTCTAAGTCCATGATTTTGGTGAAAAATTCGGACAAAACGAGCTAGATTTAGTTTGTTTAATTAATTTGATTTATTTATCAACAGTTTTACAAATGAAGTAGCTGATTTCTCAATTGTCATTAATTTGCATTTAAAAAAAAAAAATTTACCTGACTTTCCTGTTAATCGCCAACATTTTATAGAAAAATCTGACAAAATGAAAATGATTTTCTCATCACGTTCATTCCAATGACTGTCATTGAAACTCAATTTACACAGATATCGACGAATGTGCCAGCGATCCCTGTTCGAATGGAGGAGTGTGTACCGATTTAGTTAACAGCTTCACCTGTTACTGTGCCGATGGCTATGACGGGATTACGTGTGATTCAGGTAAGCTTTATATAAAGTCGAAGCAGATTACATTCCTAGTATATCAATACACTTTTTAAGTAAAGCGAAATCCAAAAAATATTGCATGTTGCTCATTGAGAAATAAAACATAAAGATTGAAAAGGGGGAAAAAAAACTAGTCTTTGGAGAAGAAAATCTTTGGAATTTTTCTTAATTTAGAGTCAACTGAAGTGTAAGTAGAGACATAAGCTGGAAAGGGTGTTTTATATTTCGGCGCGTTTTTAATAAAAACATTGCTTCTCTTGATTATGAGTAGGCACGTGGAGAAAAGGGAGTGCGCAGCCATTAGGAGAGCAGAGTTTGTATTGTGGTTCTTACAGCGATCACTGGTTATTAAGATTTGTTTTAGGGTATGATAAGAGTGGCATATTTCATTTCGATAATAGTGATTCAACTTTTGGCGCAAAGGTGTCTTAAAACTCAGACCTTGTTTCTACATTTCCGCGTCCATTTTTTTGTACATATTTCATCCCAAAGGAAAGATCAATTGCCTATCTGACCTTTGTTTTCTTGAAGGGCCAGATCAAAGTATGTCAGACAACGATATTTTTTTCAGAGATTTTTTTTACTTCTAAGTCCATGATTTTGGGGAAAAATTCGGACAAAACGAGCTAGATTTAGTTTGTTTAATTAATTTGATTTATTTATCAACAGTTTTACAAATGAAGTAGCTGATTTCTCAATTGTCATTAATTTGCATTTAAATTTTTTTTTTTTACCTGACTTTCCTGTTAATCGCCAACATTTTATAGAAAAATCTGACAAAATGAAAATGATTTTCTCATCACGTTCATTCCAATGACTGTCATTGAAACTCAATTTACACAGATATCGACGAATGTGCCAGCGATCCCTGTTCGAATGGAGGAGTGTGTACCGATTTAGTTAACAGCTTCACCTGTTACTGTGCCGATGGCTATGATGGGATTACGTGTGATTCAGGTAAGCTTTATATAAAGTCGAAGCAGATTACATTCCTAGTATATCAATACACTTTTTAAGTAAAGCGAAATCCAAAAAATATTGCATGTTGCTCATTGAGAAATAAAACATAAAGATTGAAAAGGGGGAAAAAAAACTAGTCTTTGGAGAAGAAAATCTTTGGAATTTTTCTTAATTTAGAGTCAACTGAAGTGTAAGTAGAGACATAAGCTGGAAAGGGTGTTTTATATTTCGGCGCGTTTTTAATAAAAACATTGCTTCTCTTGATTATGAGTAGGCACGTGGAGAAAAGGGAGTGCGCAGCCATTAGGAGAGCAGAGTTTGTATTGTGGTTCTTACAGCGATCACTGGTTATTAAGATTTGTTTTAGGGTATGATAAGAGTGGCATATTTCATTTCGATAATAGTGATTCAACTTTTGGCGCAAAGGTGTCTTAAAACTCAGACCTTGTTTCTACATTTCCGCGTCCATTTTTTTGTACATATTTCATCCCAAAGGAAAGATCAATTGCCTATCTGACCTTTGTTTTCTTGAAGGGCCAGATCAAAGTATGTCAGACAACGATATTTTTTTCAGAGATTGTTTTTACTTCTAAGTCCATGATTTTGGTGAAAAATTCGGACAAAACGAGCTAGATTTAGTTTGTTTAATTAATTTGATTTATTTATCAACAGTTTTACAAATGAAGTAGCTGATTTCTCAATTGTCATTAATTTGCATTTAAAAAAAAAAAAATTACCTGACTTTCCTGTTAATCGCCAACATTTTATAGAAAAATCTGACAAAATGAAAATGATTTTCTCATCACGTTCATTCCAATGACTGTCATTGAAACTCAATTTACACAGATATCGACGAATGTGCCAGCGATCCCTGTTCGAATGGAGGAGTGTGTACCGATTTAGTTAACAGCTTCACCTGTTACTGTGCCGATGGCTATGATGGGATTACGTGTGATTCAGGTAAGCTTTATATAAAGTCGAAGCAGATTACATTCCTAGTATATCAATACACTTTTTAAGTAAAGCGAAATCCAAAAAATATTGCATGTTGCTCATTGAGAAATAAAACATAAAGATTGAAAAGGGGGGAAAAAACTAGTCTTTGGAGTAGAAAATCTTTGGAATTTTTCTTAATTTAGAGTCAACTGAAGTGTAAGTAGAGACATAAGCTGGAAAGGGTGTTTTATATTTCGGCGCGTTTTTAATAAAAACATTGCTTCTCTTGATTATGAGTAGGCACGTGGAGAAAAGGGAGTGCGCAGCCATTAGCAGAGCAGAGTTTGTATTGTGGTTCTTACAGCGATCACTGGTTATTAAGATTTGTTTTAGGGTATGATAAGAGTGGCATATTTCATTTCGATAATAGTGATTCAACTTTTGGCGCAAAGGTGTCTTAAAACTCAGACCTTGTTTCTACATTTCCGCGTCCATTTTTTTGTACATATTTCATCCCAAAGGAAAGATCAATTGCCTATCTGACCTTTGTTTTCTTGAAGGGCCAGATCAAAGTATGTCAGACAACGATATTTTTTTCAGAGATTGTTTTTACTTCTAAGTCCATGATTTTGGTGAAAAATTCGGACAAAACGAGCTAGATTTAGTTTGTTTAATTAATTTGATTTATTTATCAACAGTTTTACAAATGAAGTAGCTGATTTCTCAATTGTCATTAATTTGCATTTAAAAAAAATTTTTTTACCTGACTTTCCTGTTAATCGCCAACATTTTATAGAAAAATCTGACAAAATGAAAATGATTTTCTCATCACGTTCATTCCAATGACTGTCATTGAAACTCAATTTACACAGATATCGACGAATGTGCCAGCGATCCCTGTTCGAATGGAGGAGTGTGTACCGATTTAGTTAACAGCTTCACCTGTTACTGTGCCGATGGCTATGATGGGATTACGTGTGATTCAGGTAAGCTTTATATAAAGTCGAAGCAGATTACATTCCTAGTATATCAATACACTTTTTAAGTAAAGCGAAATCCAAAAAATATTGCATGTTGCTCATTGAAAAAATAAAACATAAAGATTGAAAAGGGGGAAAAAAAACTAGTCTTTGGAGAAGAAAATCTTTGGAATTTTTCTTAATTTAGAGTCAACTGAAGTGTAAGTAGAGACATAAGCTGGAAAGGGTGTTTTATATTTATATTCCTATGTCAATACACTTTTTTAAGTAACGCAAAATTCCCCGAAATATTGCATGTTGTTCATTGAGAAATAATACATAAAGATTGAAGAAGAAAAAAAAAAGAAATATCTAGTCATTGGAGAGGAAACTCTCATTTCACCTCCAAAGGAAAGATCAACTGCCTATGTAGTTTTATTTTCTTAAAGGGTCACATATATGTTTGTCAGACAACGATAATTGTTTTGGAGATTTATTCTACTTCTAAGTCCATGATTTTGGAAAAAAGTTCAGAAAAAACAAGATAGATTTAGTTTCTTTACTTTATTTGATTTATTTATCAATAGTTGTACATATCAATAGTTTTACATATAAAGTAGTTGCTTTCTCATTTACCATTAATTCGCATTAGAACAAAAATTGTTTTTTTCTGTTAATTGCCAAAATGTAATAGAAAAACCTGACAAAATGAAAATGATTTTCTCATCACATTCATTCGAATGATTGTCATGGAAACTCAATTTACACAGATATCGACGAATGTGCCAGCAATCCCTGTTTGAATGGAGGAGTGTGTACCGATTTAGTTAACAGCTTCACCTGTTACTGTGCCGATGGCTATGATGGGATTACGTGTGATTCAGGTAAGCTTTATATAAAGTCGAAGCAGATTACATTCCTAGTATATCAATACACTTTTTAAGTAAAGCGAAATCCAAAAAATATTGCATGTTGCTCATTGAGCAATAAAACATAAAGATTGAAAAGGGGGGGGGGGAAATCTTGTCTTTGGAGAAGAAAATCTTTGGAATTTTTCTTAATTTAGAGTCAACTGAAGTGTAAGTAGAGACATAAGCTGGAAAGGGTGTTTTATATTTCGGCGCGGTTTTAATAAAAACATTGCTTCTCTTGATTATGAGTAGGCACGTGGAGAAAAGGGAGTGCGCAGCCATTAGCAGAGCAGAGTTTGTATTGTGGTTCTTACAGCGATCACTGGTTATTAAGATTTGTTTTAGGGTATGATAAGAGTGGCATATTTCATTTCGATAATAGTGATTCAACATTTGGCGCTAAGGTGTCTTAAAACTCAGACCTTGTTTCTACATTTCCGCGTCCATTTTTTGTACATATTTCATCCCAAAGGAAAGATCATTTGCCTATCTGACCTTTGTTTTCTTGAAGGGCCAGATCAAAGTATGTCAGACAACGATATTTTTTTCAGAGATTGTTTTTACTTCTAAGTCCATGATTTTGGGGAAAAATTCGGACAAAACGAGCTAGATTTAGTTTGTTTAATTAATTTGATTTATTTATCAACAGTTTTACAAATGAAGTAGTTTATTTCTCAATTGTCATTAATTTGCATTTAAATATTTTTTTTTTACCTGACTTTCCTGTTAATCGCCAACATTTTATAGAAAAATCTGACAAAATGAAAATGATTTTCTCATCACATTCATTCGAATGATTGTCATGGAAACTCAATTTACACAGATATCGACGAATGTGCCAGCAATCCCTGTTTGAATGGAGGAGTGTGTTCCGATTTAGTTAACAGCTTCACCTGTTACTGTGCCGATGGCTATGATGGGATTACGTGTGATTCAGGTAAGCTTTATATAAAGTCGAAGCAGATTACATTCCTAGTATATCAAAACACTTTTTAAGTAAAGCGAAATCCAAAAAATATTGCATGTTGCTCATTGAGAAACAAAACATAAAGATTGAAAAGGGGAAAAAAATCTAGTCTTTGGAGAAGAAAATCTTTGGAATTTTTCTTAATTTAGAGTCAACTGAAGTGAAAGTAGAGACATAAGCTGGAAAGGGTGTTTTATATTTCGGCGCGGTTTTAATAAAAACATTGCTTCTCTTGATTATGAGTAGGCACGTGGAGAAAAGGGAGTGCGCAGCCATTAGCAGAGCAGAGTTTGTATTGTGGTTCTTACAGCGATCACTGGTTATTAAGATTTGTTTTAGGGTATGATAAGAGTGGCATATTTCATTTCGATAATAACGATTCAACTTTTGGCGCAAAGGTGTCTTAAAACTCAGAACTTGTTACTACATTTCCGCGTCCACTTTATTTATATATTTCACCCTAAAAGGAAAGATTAATTGTCTATTTTACCTTTTTTTTTCAAGGGCCACATCAAAGTTTGTCAGAAAACGATAAATGTTTTTGAGATTTATTCTACTTCTAAGTCCATGATTTTGGAAATAAGTTAAGACAAAACAAGATAGATTTAGTATGTTTACTTCATTTGATTAATTTATCAATAGTTTTACAAATGAAGAAGTTCAATCTCAAATTGTCATGAATTTGCATTTAGGAGAAAAAACCTGATTTTCCTGCTAATCGCCAACATTCAAAGAAAAATCTAAAAATGTGGCAGTGATTTTCTTCTCACGTTCATTCCAATGATTGTCATATATAGTGCATTTTGATCATTGAGAAATTATACATGAAGATTGAGGAAAAAAGATAGAAATATCTACCCAATAAACAGAACACTAAAAAGTAACCTCTTTTGGGAGTGTATTTTAAGTGATTTTAAAGTATAGTGCCTTTTGAACTAGATTTAAACGTTATCGACACGTGCCTTCATTTAAACAAAAAAAGGTACTCCTGTTCACGTTTACATCTAACCTAAAAACCACCAGTTTATCACGCGACTGGAGTAACGTGATTCCATTTACCTCTGTAAATCAAGTGTTTATGACCAAATAACCACTTGACCAAGCAACGAGTTTTTTGTCCGTTAACCGATGGTGGTGATAAATACGTAATTATTTGGTCTTGTAAGCACCTTTATCGATTGGTTTCACAGGTTAACCAAGGTAGTGGTAATAATCACGTTACTTACACCGGCTAATCGTCTTATTGTACTGTCCGTGAATCTCTGGTTATATTAAATTAGTAATTCTGAGGTGTCTTACACACCTCTTTAAATGGTTTCAAAGTTACCATAAATTTCTTGGTTATGATCACGTGGCTCAAGCTGATTACTAATCTAAGCTGTGAATACGTGATATGTAGGTGTGGAAATTATTAATTATGAATTGTTTTAAAACACCTTTTTAAATGGTAGTTAAAGTTGCCATAAGTTCCGCGGTGATGATCTCGTGACTCAAACGGATTATTAATCTAAGCTGGGCATACGTGACTTTTAGGTGTGAAAAATTAGTAATTATTAGGTATCTTAAAACACCTTTTTAAATGGTTTCAAAGTTACCATAACTTTCCTGGTGATGATCACGTAGTTAAAACTGATTACTAATCTAAGCTGTGAATCCGTGATATTTAGGTGTGAAAAATTAGTAATTATTAGGTGTCTTAAAAACACCTATTTAAATGGTAGTCAAAGTTGCCAGCAGTTACGCGGTGATGATCTCGTGACTCAAACGGAATATTGATCTTAGCTGGGCATACGTGACTTTTAGGTGTGAAAAATTAGTCATTATTAGGTGTCTTAAAACACCTATTTAAATAGTAGTCAAAGTTGCCATAAGTTCCGCGGTGATGATCTCGTGACTCAAACGGATTATTAATCTAACCTAGGCATACGTGACTTTTAGGTGTGAAAAATTAGTAATTATTAGGTGTCTTAAAACACCTATTTAAATGGTAGTCAACGTTGTCAGCAGTTCCGCGGTGATGATCTCATGACTCAAACGGATTATTAATATAAGCTGGGTATTCCGTGTTTTCCAGGTGTGAAAATGAGTTATTTTTGGGTGTCTTGATGGTTTCACAGTTACCATTTAAGTTCCGTGGTGATAATCCCGTGACTGTTGGCATATTTCGAGTTGAACCAGCTGACACTAATTAATTTGCATATTGAATATGGGGTGCGTGCAGATCTATGTATTTTAAACAATTTATCTGAATTTACAGCATATTTCTTAATTACTGATGATTTAGTTATATGCAATTCATTTCGAAAATACTTCAAATATGAATTATCAGTTATTAGGACATTTCGCTACTTCGTATAAATTACATTTAGTTAAACATGAATAAGGGAAACATTAACTATGAACTAAAATAATTTCAATAAAGTACAAGTATACGAAAAACTTTCGATTAATTCAAGTATGTAAGTCTACTTATTACCAATGCCTTTACATTGGAAGTACAGACAAAACGGTATTGAAGTATTGTTGCTGTTCAACTGGTTGGAAGTTTTACCAAATGGTTCTTGGCTCAGCTAGACCAGTTGAATTATAACTGGCCTGGATCAACTGGATCATTTAGCCCATTTCAATTTCCAGGGTTACCAGTTGGCATTAACTGGTTCATCAACTGGACCAGTTGCAACAAGCTTTCTCTTCTGGGATGTTTGCACCCCCCCCCCCCATCCCCCTCTAATCCCAAACTGCTTCCGGCGCGCCTGGACGTAATTATGGAAGATCCAAGACATGATGATCAGAAACGGGATGAGAACGTCATTATTTTGGTTAATTTATTGTGTAACATTTGCGTAATTATTGGGTTGAACGCGGGTTACAGTAAAATACTTCCTCTTCGACGTAAATTTCAAGTGAATGAAGAACATGATTCATCTCAAGTCAGCCTCGAAATATTCACGTGAATTTCACGCAGATATTTTGACTAAAACTATCACTAACGTGTTTCTGTGACGCGATAATTTCGTTTATGAAGATGTAATTTCATAACCAAACAAACACGGGAGTATTAGGTTTACAACCCATGGTCTCCAAAGTAGGGATAATCACGTTATTATAATGGTGATATTGCAGTGACAATTGCGTGATTTAATGTACGTGTGTTTTAAGTTACCTAGTGCAATAAACGTATTAACACATTTACGTAAATGTCAGGTGTTTGAAGAACGTAACTCTCCTCAAGTCGATACTTTGATATTGACATGATTTTCACGTGATTTTGTTTATTGGGTAGTTATTGGAGAGTTAAATCTTTGAAGTATTTCTTAATTTAGAGTCAACGGAAGTGATAGTAGAGACACAAGATGGAAAAGGTCCTAGTCGCTTGTATTCCATTCATTGTTTTTCACCTGACGACTGAACATTAATATTCTTATTACAAAATAGAGAACACATTAAAAGAGATATTTAGTACATTTACTTCAATTAAGTTATGTATTGATAGTTTACGAAGGAGGCTAATGATTCCTTAACTGTCATTATTAAATATGCCAGTTTTTACTTAATTTTCCTATCATCCGTCAAAAAAAGATAAATCTGTCAAAAGGGAAATGATTTTTCTAGTCGCTTTTATTCCATTCATTGTATTTGGAACTTAATTTGCATAGATATCGACGAATGTGCTTCTAGTGCGTGTACGGCTAATGAAGATTGTACTGATGGAGTGAATATGTATACTTGTGCCTGCTCTGCTGGTTATGCTGGGACTCCGTGCACAGGTAAGCTATCAAAATAAAGCAGATTACATACAAACACCTATTACATGAAGCAAATGCTCCTTTCTCATCAGGATATTATAGATACCCAGGCTTTCATGCTTTGTATCAGAGTCAAATTCAACTTACGCATGGCATCTCCACTCGATCTGCAGTGAAATGTCACAATGTTAATTTAGTTTAATGACCTTTTTTAGCTTGTTCCCAGCGACTTCTACTTGCTAACTAGTTTCGAATATAAAACTATCAGTGAAACAAATGTTCAAGTAGTCGACTGTTTTCTATGTTTCGATGTTCAATGATATTGTAATACATACCAAGTATTTTTTATTTAGTCACAAAACACTGTGTTGATGTTGTCCAAAACACTGTGTTCCTTCACAATATCCAGACTAGAATATAGTTTAGTTTTTCACTTGGCGATTGAACATTAATATTCCTATTACAAAATAGAGAACTCATTAAACACGAAAAGAGATATATAGTTTATTTACTTCATTTTAGTTATTTATTGATAGTTCTACGAAGGAGGTTATTCGTTTCTTAACTGTCATGATTTAAAATGCCAGTTATGACTTAATTTTCCTATTATTCGCTTTTTCTTTGAGGGCCACATTAAGAATTGTCAGACAACGATAACTGTTTTGGACAATTTTACTACTTCTAAGTCCATGATTTACAAAACAATTTGGAAAATACAGGGAAGATTTAGATTATTCACTTTATTTTATTTATTTATCAACATTTATGCAAATAAAGTTGACATTAATTTGTCATAATTTTGCATTTAAAAAAAAAAAAAATTTACTTGATTTTCCTTTTAATCGCCAAAACTTTTTAGAAAAATCTGACAAAACTTAAATGATTTTTTTTTCTCGCCACGTTCATTTCAATGATTACTATTCAAACTCAATGTATACAGATATCGACGAATGTAACCATAATGCCTGTCTGAATGGAGGAGCGTGTACTAATTTCCCTGGCAGCTTCCACTGTGAATGTGTTGCTGGCTATGATGGGATTACGTGTGATTCAGGTAAGCTTTATATAAATTCGAAGCAGATTACATTCCTATGTCAATAAACTTTTTTAAGTAACGCAAAATCCCCCAAAATATTGCATGTTGTTCATTGAGAAATAATACATAAAGATTGAAGAAGAAAAAACTAAAATATCTAGTCATTGGAGATGAAACTCTCATTTCACCTCCAAAGGAAAGATCAACTGCCTATGTAGTTTTATTTTCTTAAAGGGTCACATATATGTTTGTCAGACAACGATAATTGTTTTGGAGATATATTCTACTTCTAAGTCCATGATTTTGGAAAAAAGTTCACACAAAACAAGATATTTTTAGTTTGTTTACCTCATTTGATTTATTTATCAATAGTTTTACATATGAAGTAGTTGCTTTCTCAATTGTCATTAATTTGCATTTAAAAAAAAAGATTTTATTTGTTTTTTCTGATAATCGCCAAAATTTAATAGAAAAATCTGACATAATGGAAATGATTTTCTCGTCGTGTTCATTCCAATGATTGTCATTGAAACTCAATTTACACAGATATCGACGAATGTGCCAGCAATCCCTGTTTGAATGGAGGAACGTGTTACGATTTAGTTGACAGATTCACCTGTGACTGTGTTGGTGGCTATGATGGAATTACGTGTGATTTAGGTGAGCTCTATATCAAATCGAAGCAGATTACATACCTATATCAATTAACTTTTTAAAATAAAGCAAAATCCCCAAAACAATTCATGTTGCTCATTGAGAAGTTAAACATAAAGTATTTCTAAATATAGAGTCAACAGAAGTGAAGTACAGACACAGAAGTGTGTTTCACATTATGGAGCAGTACTGAGAAAAAAAATGCTTCTCTTACCCTCTTACCCCTAACCTCCCCCTCTTCCTCCCGTATACTTGATGGTATGGATAGGGAAAGCTTTTCGAATTGGTCGGTCGAGATCGATTAGTGTAAATTTGGTTTTTAATCAAAAGACATTTTCTTTTCTCTTTGTAGATTTCTGTTCTAGTGACGATCAGTGTCTGAATGGAGGTACCTGTAATGCCGATGTATGTTCATGTCTCGAGGGATTCACTGGAGCTCACTGTAATACAAGTATGTTAGTGCTATTTTTGATCTTCTTTTTTAATTTTATAATAATTTGCTTTAAAGAATTTCAGTGTTTACTTGTTAATAGCAAGTTCAAGGCCATGATAAACTCATATAGTGATTTCCACCTCTTAATACATTTCAAGATCTTTATTGTAACTACAACCCCCTCCCAAGACATTTAATAACGAAGGTGAAAAAGTCTACCCAATTTCTCATTTGACAATCGTACACCTTTTTACAATTCCAAGCTCTTTTAGGGTTTTCCTTGGTTTATTTCTCAAAACTCTATTCCTTTATCAATACACTATTAA